TGTTTTAATAAAAAATTATAAAAATAAGACTAAGATTTCTGTTTCCTTCATTTAACAAGGTAAAGATTCTTAATTTCAGCTCAATAAACTGACCAAAATACTTATTGTTAGAATCTTAAATAACTGAGTTTGATCGATTGTAATAAACACAATTTGCTCAAAACTGTCTGACACCACTGGCAGATTGTTTTACAAGAATACAACAATTTTTTAAGGACTTCTTGATTTTAATGTGTGACGAAAAACTTTACACAGCCTTTATCTCAGAATTACATTCATTTCTGAGAATAAACAAAATTAAATTATTATTTTTTAGATTTTTAAAGTTAAAATAGAGAACTGAATACTGTAGACAGATTGATTTGTGTCCGCCACCAACAGCTTCCTGGTATTTAGTTTAAACAAACTAAATAAGTTTCATATAATAAAAAGATACGTTTCAAGATTATGATTAGATTAGGAATTACCAAACTGTTACTATAAGTAAGAATAATCAATTATTATCTCCACTGTATGTTTTGTCTTTTTGGTGTTTGGTACAAGTTTAAAATAATACAAGAACATCGGAAATAACCTGTAAGTTTACAGGTTTTTTTCTGTTTATTTTTTTAATGTTTTAAATACATGGAAATATGAATAAAATTACAAAATTATCTTGTGAATTTATAGGTCCAAGTAGAAAAACGTAAAAATTCTGTACATGTGAATAATCAGAAAATAACTGCTTATTTAAACAAAATGTTATTTTTTCCACATAAAAAGATTAAAATACATTTATACAAATCTATCTTTTTTTTCACAGACATTTACTGTTTTTCTTCAGTTAAATTCAAGTGTAATACTGTTAATACATTTCTAAAATTATATAAAATTACAGTGAATAAAGTATTTGTTGACTTTTATTACAGTTCTATAACTTTTAAAACTTTGATTTAAATAATAAAAATCCAATAATAACAGCACTCTGCTGTAAATTTAAGCCTGATTATTTGTATTATAGCAGAGTTCACCTGTATTTATAGCTCATTGCATTGTTTTTACAGTGTAAATATCTTTAACTGAACATTAAAGAGACAAAAAATTACACAAGATTTTCTGTTAAATTAAAGTGTAATTTAATTATAGAAAATTACTGTATTTTCATGAGTTGTTATTTTCTGTTGTTTATCACCTGCAGGTATATTATTGCTCTGTCTGGAGGTAATTAATTATCCACTAGCTTTATCCACAAACACAAAGATAGAAGTTGAGTTTGTCCACAACATAAACAGAACTCGTCTCTTTAACCAGAGCCACCAGGACGACGACCCGGTCCTGCCAGAACCCGAACCCCTCAGAGATTCATATACCGGCTGTAAAATCCTCTCCTGGTGAGAGCCGATGTACATTTTGTGAATTCCCCTGCGTTGAACCCTGGGCATCGCCCGCGCTGCAGTACGAGCTGCTGTGCCAAGTTTCAGGCTGCCAGAACAAAGGCGCACTGTATTTTTAGACTGAACAACATGGCTACAGGTGGTGAGGAGTCAGAACTCAAGTCCTCCACTCCTACAAGATCCTCCAGAAAAAGAAAGGCCTCTCTGCTGTCAAAAAGTGGAGATATCAGAAACGTAGGAGAAAGTGTGAGAGGAAAAAAAAAAAAACAGAAATTAAAAATGTACTTTGCCAAAAGTAGTGAAATGTTTCCACGGTTGGCGTTTCATGGGCAGAAAAGGGTTTGGGATTTTTTTGGATATGTAGGTTGCAGAGTGTCTACACAAAGTTTTTAAGACCTTTATGATGCCAGTTAGAACCAAACTCTGCACGATTTACAACTGAAAGAAAGTATTTTTAGTGTTTTTTGAACTTTAGACTTCATATTTTTATTTTAAACTTGAGACCTTTTACAGTCTCTGAGGTTTGATATCATGTACAAAAAAAAAAAGAACGTTCCATACTGTTTCCATTTTCTCATGATGAACATACACTTTTAAAAAGGTTAAAAGTAAATCTGAGTAAATCTGCAGGAAAGGGACCAGATTTTGGCACCGGAAGTGTTTCTGGTTTCTGTTCCCGAGGAGTTCTGATCAATCACCTTTAAGCGGGTTTCGGTTGCATGAAGGTAAACGGTCCATGTGGCCGTAAGGAGAGAAACACAGGTGGAAGACATCGGGTGAAATGTAACCCATCAACCTTTTTATTAGTTTAATTTATCTGCGTTCATATATAAAAGTTTTTTTTATTGATCATATTGATCAAAGAACAATTGTATCTTTATGGATGATAGTTGATCGGTAATACCCCCTGTTATCTTTATGGATATATTGATCAGAATTAAGCACTGTATCTTTATGGGATGATATTGATCCAGTATAGCACTGTATATTTATGGGATGATATTGATCCCTGTAATTGAGGCAGTCAGACCTGTGTGACATATGGACAGGCCCTTTAGCTCGTGTTTCTAGAGTTACGTGTTGTTACGAACACGTTAGGAATTGTTAAAATGTGATATTTCTTAAAGGGAGTTTGGTGCAGGGAGCTTTTAGTTGAATTAAAACTGATAATGTGTATAATGTATAATGTTTGTCTCCACTACAGAAACACCAGCTAACTGCTAAAGCCTAAAATGTTGTCTGACGTTAACTGCTGTTAGTCATTAGTTTGATTAATGATTTAATAATGTATGTATTGATTACTGACTGGCTGATCAGGCTAATTATCAGCTTCTGTCAGGCAGTTTCTAACAGCAGCGTGTTGTAAATGCTTCCCCCTTTGTGAGCGTTTTTAAACTCTAAACACGATGCGCTGTTATGAATGGTGTTATTAATGACTTCCACAGTTTGTAGAGCAGTCAGACCCCGACGCTGATCGGTCACATAGTGTAGAAAAGAACCTCAGTACTCGGGATTATAAGCCTGCCTACCTCTCTGTGTACGTGTGAGATAGCCGTGGCGAGCTCCAGCCCATCCAGCAGGTTGTTGCCATCGTAATCGTGCATCTTGAAGTAGTGCAGCTGAAGCTCCTGAGGTGTCATGTCTTTCTCTGGTTGCTCTATCACTCCCTCTAAATGCTCCATGATGTGGCTGCAAGACAAAAAACAAACACAGAGTGTGTGTGTGAACGCCTGCGGACCGGGTTCAAGGTTCAACCGCTCAGTGCTGGCAGCGATCACTCACTCTTTGTCCTGGATCATGTTCTTGTCCAGGCGGCCGTGGCCGGTTACGTGAGCTCCGCTCTCCACGGCGGGCAGCGCCTGCTGCTGCTGGTGGTTGTGTGGATCCACCTGAGAGTGAACACACAGCAGAGAGGAGCACAGGAGGAGGAGCAGACCCCCCCACCGCACTCTGCAACTGCCACTCCTCATTCTGCCGGGCACACACACAGACAGACAGACAGACAGACAGGCAGACAGACAGGCAGACAGACAGACAGACAGACAGACACACAGACAGACAGCAAGTTAGATTAAGGAGATTCTTTATGGCCTCTCACTTTTCATTCATAAATCCAACTTTAACGAGCAAAATCGTTATTAATTACAGGTTTTTTCTTCCTGCTGTTTCACCTGTAATCAGTTTCAGTGAGCTCGCTGTATCACCATATTGGTAAAGGCACATTTAATACCCGAGGAGACCCACAAAACAAGATAAAAACAATAACATCTGGAAAGAATTAGTAAAAAATAAACAAATCAAAAGCACCCAGAATAAAACCAATAAAACAAACTGATACAAATGTGATTTATTAGGGAATAATTAAAAGCAGACTTTACAGAAACTAAAAGCAGCTTAGTGGGAACAGCCAGGAATCCAGAACCAGCTGAGACCCGAGAGGTCTTCAGGGTTCGTACTGGACCAGGAGACCCAGATAGACCTGAATCAGAGACTTATGGACAAACAGTTGAAACTGGTGATCAATGTATTGATCAATGTATTGATCAATGACTGGCAGCAGCACTTTGGATGCATGGACCAGCTCCTCCAGACCACATCTCTCTCTCTCTCTCTCTGATTCACCAACAGAGGAGAAAACATCCAGTAAAGTCTTTATCCTATAAAACTGTCAGTCACACTCACACATGTGCACAACATTAAACAGATAAACAACGGGCTGAATAGAGACATTTAATGTCTGTGAACTCCTCACATTGTAGCTACACACTGTAAATATTAACAGGTTACATTAGTTAGTAAACTCTGCTCAATAAAAGAGCAGAAACTAACGCAAACATCAGCCAACAGGCTGTCTGTTATAAGAGTATTAGCATTGGAGCTTCACTTTCAGGACGCTGAAGATGCAAACGGTTTAACGCGAAACAAACACAACGCGTTCAGTTATATACTATCGTTTATTGAACGTTTATTTTTAATACTCACATGAAATATAATCTCTATCTTCTTCTCGACTCCGCGGGCAGTTCCGTTGTTTTCTTAGTTGGCTGGCAACAATGATGATTCACGGCTTTTACGGACCAAGCGGCTCGCCGTAGTTCCTCTTGGACACGACAGCTCATTGTGATTGGTTAAAGTGACCGAAGAGTAAACAACCGGAGCGAGAGAGTTCCCTGCACCAACGTCCGTCTTCGCCCGAACCTCGCTAGACGGATTATATTTTTACTTTTTGCTGTCTATGAGTGAATTACAATGTTTTATTATACTGTGTACATATTCCAACATAATCTTTAAGGTTATAGGAAGATTATTATAAAGTTATAACTCGTAAAAAAAAGCCTTTAAGTTGGTAACAAATGCATACTTCCTGTTTTGTAGGGTGGCTGTACACCAGGTAAACTCCAAGAAAGAAAGTTATTGTTGAGTCTCAGTCCAGAGGAACCAGATTTTTTCACAGATTATCTGTCTCATGTTCTACTGTCAGGATATAGTGAAAGTTTCAGCAAATGTGACAAAAAATTATCTTTATGAAAGTTACCTACTGCAGCTTTAAGTAAACACGATGTTACTGGTACAAGCTAATGTTTGTGTTATTATTCACATTATCACGTTTTTTACTTGTGCACTCCTGGCACTTTTCTATCCCTAGGACATACCATAACATAATATAACATAACATA